TCTTATAAGATGACATAAGGAATACAATGAAAACATAGAAATAAATAATTTGCAAAGAGACCATTTACTTACAAGGAGGTCACAATCACTCTTGTCCATCAGATTTTGAATCAAGTGGTTGTGAGTGTGTCCATTGACTAGACTCAAATATCCCAATAAATTGATGCTACAACTACAAAGAGTTTTGGAAAAATGAGAAGACAAAAAAGAACAAATTTTGAAAAACAGAAACCCATAGAGATTATTTAGGAAATCAGAAAATGATCCAAGAACACATCCTGAAAACAGAAAATTAAATTGTATCAATGATTCTGAAACAAAATAAATGATCAAAGGCATCCATTCGTCAAGAGGAAAAACAGGAAATTGGATTAAATTAAAATGTAAAAAAAGCAGAATCCATGAAAATTTGCAAGGGAATAAATAAATGATCAAAGGCATCCATTCGTCAAGAGGAAAACAGGAAATTGGATTAAATTAAAATGTAAAAAAAGCAGAATCCATGAAAATTTGCAAGGGAATAAATAAATGATCGAAAAACAATCCATATGTCAGGAAAAGGAATAGATACGTGTGAAATTTCAAAAAAAAAGACAAAAATGACAAGAAAACCAAAAAAATCCAAAAGGAACTACAAGATACAATGAAAATTATCCAATATCATCCATTCACACAGGGAAAGGGCAAAAACATGAAACGTAAGCCGAAAACATATGGTCAAAGACGTTTCAGAAAATGGAAAAAAAAAAAAACAAGGAAAGCATATAATTCAAAAGAACCGTGCTTTTACGTAGAAAGAATCCAAAATAACCACTTATGCAGAGAAAAAAAAGGGAAAAAAGGGAAAATGAGATGGAAAACAGGAAAAAAGAAGTGCAAAGGAGAGGTACTGTAAACGGTGTACATACCGACATGTATACAGAGGAGATACGGCCGATAGGAAGGGGCTTCCTCGCTTTCTCTCTCTAGCTTCAGACCCTATCTCTCCTCACTCTCTCTCTGCAAAAGAGAAAAAAAAAGAAATTTCAAACCGGAGAAAAATAGAAAGGTCCCATATATGGAGAAGGCAAAGTGGGGAGCCATTATTGTAAGAATCGACGGACAGGATCTGTCGCTCACAAGAATCGCATATTTAATTCTGGCCGTCGATTAGGATGAATGGGTTGGGGCCTACACGAAAACGAATGAGTAGGTGGAACGTGGATATGAGAGAGGGGATGTGGGGATTTTGCCATGTCATCATGCAGTGCAGGCAATTAGTAAAAGAGGGAAGGATATAAGTTTAGAGATAACCATGGCCGGGCCGCATACTGAGCCCAGTTGGCCCGGTTCTAAAACAAAAAAAAAGCCTGGGTTATAAATTGTGGTCAGAGGGTGAGGGCTAAGGATAGCGCCGGCCTGACGCTCCTTTTCCTTTTTAGCGCCGATACTGGGCCGGACAAAGCTCGACCCATTTCCACCCTTAGGAGGAAAGGATATTATTAAATGTGAAAAAAATTTATATGAGGTTGCACCTCGCAAATCTCATAGAAAATAGTACTCTAAAGTTTGAAAACTTTATATTTCATCATCTCAACTTCAAGATGTACTAATGTAAATAAAAAAAAAAAGTTTCAAGTCAAAAAATAATATATATTGTAAAGAGTTTTTTTTTTTTTATTTGGGTAAATCAATGGAGATGTTGAGCCGTACATATTTTATTACAAGAAATAAAAAGATATAAGATTAGCATTTTGCACCCTTGTGAGGGGAACATTGGCAACATCAAATAGCAACAAAGGATCTTAACTCATCCCGGGGATGAGCACGCCAGATTGTTTGCCTCTATCATGGCTATAGTCTTCTTTACAAAATAGTCGGCAACCCTATTAGCCTCCCTGTGTGTGAGAGATATCTGCCATTGGTGATTTGCGAAGGAGAGGTTTGCTTTGTTTGGTTGAAACTAGATGTTGCTTTCATGAAGGCTTGTAGCTTTGTTTCAAGGATTCCACAAGTAATTCGGAATTGCTTTCAATGATGAGAGGTATAGATTTTTGAGTTCTTTTGCCAAAGAGATGCCCAATTGCAAAGCATGGAATTCAGCAACATTATCGAGTTGAGACCAGGGGAGCTGCAAAAGCAGTTATAAAACCTCATTCATCATTCCTTATGATACCTCCAACAACATTATCGAGTTGATACCTAGTTGTGCTGCAAAAGCAGCTATAAAGCCTCATTCATCATTCTTTATGATGCCTCTACAACTCTATGGTTTTTTTTTTTTTTTATGGGTAAATCAAAGGGGATAAAAGCCTTTAGCCGTTTTGTTTTTATTAAAGAACACAAGAAAAAAGGTTACAATAAAAAGGAAAACAAATGCGAGAAATTAATCATGCCTTTCAAGAGGGACATGGGCATTATCCCATGAAATGAAGGGAGTGACAAAATCAAGGGGACGGGGCCTGCCAAACTGTGGCTTGCACCATGGATGCCGCTTGCTTAGCAAGGCAATCAACAATCAGATTCGCCTCCCGAATTATATGCAATACCTGTCATTCGTGATCTGCAAAGGAGTAGAGCTTAGCCCTACAGTTGGACAAGAGGATGTGAAGCCTCCATGGGGGAGAGTTGTAGTAGGTTAAGGAGTCAACTAGCAATTTGGAGTCACTCTCAATGATAAGAGGGCGACAATCTATCTCATGCATCATAAAGATACCTCGATCCAAGGCATGAAACTTTGCGGCATTATTGGAGATGATTCCAAGAGGCATTGCAAAGGCTACCTCGATCCATTGGAGCTGATTCCAAGAGGGATCGTAAAGGCTACCTCGATCCATGGGAGCTGATTCCAAGAGGGATGGCAAAGGCTACCTCGATCCATTGGAGCTGATTCCAAGAGGGATTGCAAAGGCCACTACGAAGCCACCTGTGTCAACTCTGATGATCCCCCTACATCCCGCGGTACTTGGGTTGCGAACGGACGAGCCATCGATATTGAGTTTAAAATATCATGTGGGTGGGAGAGACCATGCATTTGGGATTGGGGTGGAGGGATGTGCCACTTAACCTTGAGGTTTGTGGCAATATGAATCTCAGAAGAATGAAAAGTCCAGTAGCTCCATAGTTGTCGATAGAAGAGCCATCTATATTAAGCTTGAAATGGCCAATAGGAGAGAGACCATTCCATCTAGATTGAAGTTATTTGAACCATCTATTTTCATGAATTCAAATGCTTATATATGTGCTCAATATGCACCGTTGTGAGAATTTTAAACATGGATTTTCAAACCATCAAAAAGTTTTTGACTCCAAAACTACGACTTCCGACAAATTTTAGAGGCATGTCATAAGATGGGCACCTTATAGAAACCTCATCCATTAAGTATACCTACAAGATTTCATTCTCACAAGAGAGTATTCTGTCTATTTACTTCCTCAAGGAAAATCCCATGTACAAGATATTTTAAGATCCTAAATTTTGGTGATATAACATCGTGAACTCATAAACTAATTGCAATAAAAGAATAAATTACAAATTGCTATCGGTACCCTTGAAAAAAAAAAGTCTTAAATGATTTTTTTCAAAAGAAAAAATTCGAATTTGGAGTTTTATGATACTTGGATCTCACTCTTCAAAAATTACATGACCTTTGCTCAATCTTGAGACATTATTTTCTTCCAGTACAGAATTCAATTCCAATAATAATAATATTATGAGGTTGGATTTTGGGTGAAAAGGTCTTATCCCCAAAATTTGGGATCCTAAAATGATTCCTACATTCGATTTTACCAAAGGGAGTAAATCTACACTATACTTGAGGAACATAAAGTCTTCTAGCAATTCTATCTTATTATTTTCCTCATTGGGTGGCTTTCCCTCTATCCCTCTCTCTGGTTTCTACGTTTTCCATTTGAAATAATTTGTAACCCTCATTGGGTGGCTTTATGTCCATCCCCTCTCTCTCTCTCTGTGGTTTCATCTCTATCTCTCTCTACCCAATTGAAATAGACTCTCTCTCTCTCTCTCCATATTTCCCTCCCTCCCTCCCTCCCTCTCTCTTCTCTGTGAGTTTTCCCCTTTGAAATTATTTGTAACATTTCCCATTTGAACTAAATTCTCTATATTTCTCGATTTCTAGCTCATGCAGTCAAGCTCAGTCCTAAGTAATGATCATCACAGCCATAGAGAAAATAAAATTACCCCATAGATCTTGTCTCTCTTTTCCCAGTTCTTTTTATGAACATGATCTCTTTTCATCACCAATTTCTTCATCGCCAGTATCAAAAAAGAAAATTCTTCATCACCATACAAAAATGGTAATCTAGGCTACAAGCCATCCAATTTTGGTACAAAAAAGTCGCATTCATCCCTAACCACTAAACATGAAATCAGGCAGGTAAGGTCGTGCCATTCCTTATAAGAAAGTTCAATAAAAATTTCTCCGACTTGGACCACAGTCAATGAATGGTACACCCCTGGCGTTCCACCTCTTATAGTTAGTTAGGGGTGATCATAACCTTCCCATACCATTCCACATCTTACAGTTTGGGGGTAATCATGACCTTCTCATGTAGACTTTCCCTTTGGAAAATAGGCCTTCATCTCCAAACTTCTGGCTAAAAGAGAGAAATCTAAACACAAAATAATGGGGCTCAAAACGTTGATACAAATCATATAGCTATAAATACAAAATGAATCATCAAGTCTATAAAGTAGCATACCTTCAAAACGAGTAAAGCAGCATCCATATCCACAACCTACCAGTTGAAATGCTAGACGCCCTCCATTCACACCTGCAACTAAGGAGGTCGACGAGCTAAATTTAGTCATTAAAAAAGCAAGAGATGGTGGTGTATATGCCACAGCTTCCATTCAACTATTAAATTTTGATAGAACTAGTTATAAATTTGAAGTCATATTTGCTAATCTAACTGTCAAAAGAGCATAGATTATGCATCCTACATGTTAATTATCTCTTGTTCGATCTGCAACTGAAGGGCAAACAGCAGTTCCAATAATTTCTAGTTGTCTACCAAATTGTTCGTGGAAAATAAGGTTCAAGAGTATTCAGCAAGCCTTAGGAAAATGATCCTTAAAAAAGTTAGGAATTTCAAAACAAAAAGATGAATAGCAGCAGAACTGCATAAAGTTTGCTATTGTAATTGAACTCTATAAAGACAATGCGTGCATTTGATGCCCTTGACTGATGGAAACATTCCCTCTACCCCAAGAGAGTATAACTTCTGACCCATAACATGATAACTGAAGGAAATCAGAATAAGCATAAACAAATTTTCAAAAGGATCTGATTGTATAGAAAGCAATGTCGCAAGACTATATGTTGTAGAGATCCAGCTTTGCCGGAATATACCCGGTAAAGAATTTATGGTGCTTACTTGACCCAACTCAACCCTCTTTTGTAGAGGGTTATTGTTCCATCATTTAGATCTCCTAGTAATCTTTCAGAAAATGATCCTCCACAAATTGGTATTTTTAAAAATGATTTTCTCTTTTTAGAAAGCCATTCTTAAATAAGAAATAACTATATAATCTTTTTTTTTTTTTCCAAAAGCTTTAATAAAACAAAAAACAACTCATGTTTGCACGCATTAATTACACACATTTGCCAAAACCTTCCACTTGGCCATGAGAAAGTCTATTGCCACTAAGTGGATTTACTCTTTATGAATATATTCTCATCGTGATGTTTTTCATGCTACTGCAGTTATATTTCTATTGTGGATTTACATATACGATCTTGTCAAAGGGTTTCTTATCCTATTGTGGTTTTACTTCTCTTGACCAACTGCTCTTTTTTTTTTTTGTGAAGTTGAAATTTGTATTAAGGGAAAGAGTATCATCATCATCATCATAGTCTTTTCCCAACTATTTGGGAACGGCTACACAAATTCTGGTCTGTCATTCTACTGTATCAAGGATCATGCCTCAATGAAGTCGTAAGTCCTCATATCTTTTCTCACTACTTACAATAATGTCCTTATGGTTTAAGAGGGGTGAGCGCCTCAAACTGTTCCTTAACCCATCCCAAGACTGGGTAAAGGAAATGGATTATGTTAGGTAGGCAGCAAATGTAAAACTTTTCGTGAATCCTGAATATAAACAAAAGTTAGGCAACCTACAGCCTGGGTGCTCTATACAAAAACCACCACAAGGGTGCTCTATACAAATAAGAGAGGGGGGGTGAGGTTGGTAGCTCAAAAAATACTGTTTGATTTCTAGAAGACGCAATTTTGGAAACTTTATCTCTAGGGAAGTGGATACCCCAAGTTCCATGGGTCTCTTATGGAAGAGGCATTATCCACTTTTTAGCCTTAAACATATGGCAAGGGGATATCACGGTATCTACTTTACTATAAAACTTCCTTATTAAACATAATAGAGAAGTTTTACAGTATTGGAAGACACTGTTTTGAAAACCGTGTCTACCAAAAATCAAACCTACCCTAACTGAGCTCTTGATATAACATGGAAAAAGGAACCAAATGCTCAAAAAGGTGCCAAAAAGATTCCTTGTGTGTCATCTCAAAATGCTGTTGAGTGGGAATGCGCCAGTATGTCTCCATTAGACGCGCATAGGCCTACAAATATGGAACATTCTATCAAAAACATATTCTAATCTCCAAGGACAAACTAATGATCTTGAGGCCGACGCTATAATGTTTTTGGAGCCCCCTTCAATAACCAAACTAGAATCCAAGTAGGATTGAAATCCCTTAGACCTTCAAGGAGCATAAGAGCCTTAGTGTTTTGGAATCAGCGTGCGGCATACCCGATATATCTAGAGAAAGAGAAAAGTGTGGAACCATCCTTGTCTCTGACAATGCCTCCTATAGCTGCTGGTCCCAGGGAGCAGCAGTAAAATTTTAGTTTGGATTGGCTGGGTTCAGGTGGTGTCCAAAGGGAGGCACAAGGAACGGTAAAAACAACATGGGTGCTAATCTTGGTGAAAATCTGAGCAAGAGAAGTGCCTAAAGCAGTTGTGGTTTTAAGTCCAGAAGATAACCGTCATTCTCATGACCAAATGTTTTAGAAGTTTTTGACCTAGACAACTCTAAACCCCATCAAGCTCACATGCAATGAAAGCATTTCTGGAGTTCACGCCTTCTAAAAGTGTCTGCAATCACATTAGCTTAAAGTGAGCAACTCACAGTTACTTCATCCTTAGAATAATCTCACAAATATATAATGATCTTATACTTCAATATATCAACCCTTGGAGCTATCTGCTCCATTGTTAACCGATGAGATGACGACATGGACACAAAATATATAAAGTCCTCCTTCAGCTATATCCAGCTTTAAATCCTCTATAAAGCATTTGATTCAGAGGATGCAACTAGTAGTTATGCGAGAAGCAACATATTTGGCTTCATAGTGTACCAAGCAACAAAACCTTATTCCTAGCTTGACCAAAAAACACGTCTACCTCCAAAGAGGAATGCATGTCAAGATGTTCAAGATGTAGATTTTTATAATCTAGGTATCCTGCAAAATTCGCATGAGTACATGCTAATCTCTAAATTATCAGCCTGAAAACATAATTAATAGTATTTGATTATCTACACATACCTAAATATTCCTTATATTGCTCACTAATGAGTCATTCTATAACCATAACACCATCCGAGTAACTCAATTCAAGCCTTGTACACAGCAAGGCATACATAATACAATACACAGATTCAGCACATGGGACTTGCTCCATATTAGTTTTATCACTATCATTGGATGAACTCATTTTGTATGATAGTTTTAATCCTTTACATGCAGGTGTATCTATAGGTTCACAATTTTTCACCTTGGAATTCTTCAAGTGTCATTCATGTACTTTTTTAGAAACAAACAAAGTGTCCAGAACATCTCTCTTGTTATCTCAATGCTTAGAACAAAGGATGTTTCTTCCATGTCTATCATCTTAAAGTAGGAACTAGGACAAAATTATTATTATTTATTACGCCAATATCATTTTCAACTAACACAATATCAACTATATGCAATGCTAAAATGACCAAACTAATCCCACTAGTCCACATACATACACAGTGTTCCAGTTTGTTGTCTACATAACCAATTTCTGTAATTATATTATCAAAAATTGATACTACTACCTCGATGTAGTGCTCAAGATGGCAAATTCGACCTCTAGGCAGGTGCTCAGGTACATGGGCGGCCCAAATTATTATTATTATTATTATTGGGTGGTGGGGGATTTGCCATATCTCCACACACACACAGTGCATGGGCGTGTATGTGTGTGCGCCACATGCATGTTTGATCTCGTATCAAACACTTGGAGACTGTTTTTTTTCTTCTTCTTAGATATATATAGAGAGAGTTCGCATCGAACACAAGAGGCCATCGTTTTCCTTTGTTTTTTTTTTTCTTTACCTTATATGTAAAGAGAGAGACAGCGAGAGCCCGTGTGTATGTGTTGCCCTGCCTTGAACCCTTGAAGGTCGTATTCTTCTTTTTTTCCTTTCTATATGTGTAGAGAGGGAGAGAGAGAATATAAGTATGTAAAGGGGGGGCTCACATTGAACACTTGGAGGTCGTCTTCAGCTTTTTCTTTTTCTTATATGTAGAGAGAGGATATGGGTCCGGAATGTGTGTGGTGAGAGAGAGAGAGAGAGATACGGCTGTCATCGAACACTGTGAGGCTGTCTTCTTTTCCATCTTATATGTAGAGAGAAAGATAGCATATCAGTCCGTGAGGGAGAGAGAAAGACACAGAAAGAGGGGCCTCGCATCGAACACCGGGAGGTCATCCTCCTTTTCTTCGTGTATGAAGAGAAAGAATATGGGCATGTGAGAGAGAGAGGCCTCGCACTGAACACTTGGATTTATTCTTTCCTTTTGTTCTTCCCGTATATATATATAGAGAAGCCTCGCACTAAACACTTGGAGTTTGTCTTCTTCTTTTTCTTCTTCTCATATGTAGAGAGAGAGAGAGAGCGCATATGAGTCTGAAACCAAAGAGGGGTTTCACATCAAACGCTTGGAGGGCATCTTTTCTCTTTACGTAGATAGACGAGCATATAAGTCTACGTGTATGTAAGTAATTCAAAATGCGGATCGCTCAATTCGTAGGCGGTACGGAACTCGCTTAGGTAGACGTCCAGCCTTGAGCTTGCGGCCTAGGAGCATATATTTTTTTAAAAAAAATTATATTGATTTTTTTTAAAACATATAGGGTTTGAAAGATGGGTTTTAAATTCATTTCAAACCTAAACCCACAATAACCCATTTTAAAGAGAGAAAAATATTAAAAAAACTAAATTTTGTGACTTTCATTAGATCAAAATACTTTTTAAAGTTACGAAAAACGGATCCAAACATCACCCAGGTAGATTTGATTTAGTTTTGGAGATTTATAATCTTATTAGAAGGTGTTTTTTATTATTTTAGCACTAGAAAACACCTCAAAACTGTGAGTTTGGAGTTCTAGCAATCAAAGTAAGTGCAAAAACTTATTTTTTAAATTATTTGTTTTATTTTGAGATGTCTTCTTCAAGATATAGTCAAAATAGATATACGGGTTAGAAATATGAATATAACCATAATCCAAATAACAAAAATTACATTAGATGCAATATTTATGAAAAAGATACGAATGGGAGAATAAACTGGTTTAATAAGCATATTGCTGATATTAAAGGGGATGTTGTCCCTTATAAAAATGTTCCTAAAGCTATCAGAGAGGAGATTAAGCAATAAATGAGTTTTGTAAAACAAAAACAAGAACAAAATCCTTGTCATTTGAATAGATATATTTCTACTACTTCTTGAAAAAGTGATCCGGGTTGGAAGTATGGTTATAATCCAAATCCAAGCGATAAAATTTCTGCTACTTCTAGAAAAAGTGATATAGGTTGGAAGTATGGTTATAACCCAAAAACAAACAATAAAAATTGTATAAAGTGTAATTTCTGTGAAAAATATACCAATGGGAGTATTAACCGATTCAAAAAACACCTTGCTGGTATTAAAGAGAATGTTGCTGCTTGTAAAAACGTTTTTAAAGCTATTCAGGATAAGATTAGACAACTTATTAATTTTCAAAAAAAAAAAAAAATTAATGAAAATGAGCTTTGTTCTACATAAATATCTATCTCCAAGTTCTTATAGTAGTGGTGATCCGAGTTGGAAGTATGGTTCTAACTCGAATCCGAATGATAAAAATTGTATTAAATGTAATTATAGAGGAAAAGATACTAATGGGGGCATTTACCGGTTTAAAAAACACCTTGTCGGTATTAAAGGGGATGTTGCCTTGTGTAAAAATGTTCTTGAGTTCAGGGAAGCACAAAAAGATACAAAATGGTAGAGCAGCCAAGACTCCTAGAACCTCATGCGCACATACTAGTAAGAGGGAGGCAGATGAAGAGGAGGAAGACGCAAATTTAGAATAAACAGAGGAGGATGAGCATTATATTGAAGAGAGAGATGACTCTGATGATGTTGGCCTCAATTCTGATGCATATGATAAAGTTGACCCTATTCTTTATGATGATGATAGTGATGACTGAAGACTCTTGGTGTTGAATATTGATCGTTGACTGTTGTGTTGAGTGTTGACTATTTTGTCTGTATATTTTTTGAATTTCTGTATATTTCTTGTTCTTATTTATAGTTTGTAGTTTCTAGTTCTACTATCTAACTTTTGTGTGTAGAGTCTATAGTGTATCAGACTATCAGTGTATGCTTGTATGGTTTTACTGTTTTAGCATTGTATGAAAAATATAGATTATGGTCTCATGGATTATCAAAATACTGGGATTATGGTCTTAGTTTTTTTTCTTTTTTTTCAACTGGGTTACCCAAGTTCTGGGCGCCCACCTGGACCCCCATGGCCGCTTGGGCGTCGCCTAGGGCTTTTTGAAACACTAATGTGTGTGTGTGTGTGAGAGAGAGAGATGGCTCATGTCAAACACTTGGAGGCCCCGACTGAGGGTCATTTTTTATATGGTTCATTCAACATCAATACTCTACAGGATCCGGTTCAGGGCCATTGATTGGTTGGCCCATGGCTCATCTGGCCACCTAGACAACCTTAGGGCTTAGTCCACATCTGAATGGGGCGCCACCTACATCTACTCAGTTCGGATAGCTCCTAGTGTGCCTAAGAGGCCAGACAACAAATTTTTGTCATTGGCTAAATGATTGCTGTAGACCATGTATAACTTTCTTTATCTAAACATACCCCGCTAGGTGTTTCATAGTGTGCACGCAAACTTCTCCATCTAAAAAGGTTGTTTTGGGATCTATTTGAAACAACTCTAAATCATAATATGCTACCAGTGCTATAGATGATCCAAATGAATGTGAATCCCGCTACTAGAAAATAAGTCCCCATATAATTTATAACGCTATAATTTATAGCAATACCGTTTTGCTAATAATTTAACCTTTTAGTTTTTTATAGACCCCAATACACTGTTCTGTAGGACCTATTCTCAACCAAAGGTGCACCAAGACCATATTAGGATCTATATCATTGTTGTGCAATCATAGCCCTTAGAATTTTCTGAACAACTTCCAAATGAGCCATAATTGTTAGGAGTTAGAGTAGGAAGGAGTGGTGGAGGAAGTGGGAGCAAGGGATCGACCCATGGCTAAAGATCCCAACTTTGAAAGGTCAGGGAGCCTTGTTTAGCGGGTGGCCTAGGAGTGGAATGATGTATAACTCTAACAGTGAACTTAGATTTTTACCATAAAATACTTTCTCTATTTAAAAATGACTTTTGACTATATCGTTTTCATGTATTTTTCAATTGTCATTCTAAAATCCTTGGATATACAAGCCTTAAAGTTTGAGTGATTACAATCTATGGTTCAGCTTTCCAACGCTCTCCAGATTTGGTTGTGTTCTCCTTATACAATCTATGCAAAGCTGTACAAAGTCATCATGCTAAAAATATTACGGGAAAATTATACATATATCCGTTATATTTTACGTTATTACGAATGTACTGAATAATTTCTGTTATTATATGTCTGTCCATTTTTTACCTTTCATAACACAAATTTAAAAAAAAGACGATTGTACCCTTTTCGAGTGTTGAACAACCGAATTGAAGGGTTTTTAGGATAACTTTCTCAAATTTCGATTTTTGATTAACCGATAATTTTTGCTCTAAAATTTCCTTCTACTTAGCATAATGTTTTATTTTCGGACATCCGAAATTTTAAAAGCTTTCTAGAATTTCGCAGTCATATTTTCAGATGTCCAACATTCGAAACCATTTTTTGATGTTCAACATCTGAAAACATAACTATGAAACTCCATAAATTTGTAGTCACATTTTCGAATGTCCAACATCCAAAAATATTAAGATAGTTATAAAACATGTTAAAATCATTTTGATAGTTTGGATCGAATTGTACCCCTTCAAATGCATATATATATATATATATATATATGATTTATGCATTCGTGTGCATTCTATTCAATTATGTGGGAAAAAATATGCACACGAATGCTGAAAAGTACAATGAAATCATTAAGCAATGTGTTTTGTGTTTGACATTTCACAATTGTGATGGATCAATTGGTTAATAGTTTAAAATGGGTCACCTAACCTCCTTCCATTGAAACTAAGAGGGGAAATCATATAAACCGAGTGAATGTGAGCACCTATTCAAACCACTGAAAGTGAATGTGAGCAACCATTAAAACCCATTAAAGTGAATGTGAGCAACCATTCAAACCCATTCAAGTGAAGAAAGTAGAAAGACTTGACAAAATTCATTGAACAAATTGGGTGGATCAAATGACCAATACATTGCAAGGGTCAAAATGACCAATACATTACAAGGGTCAAAAGGCTATTACATTGGTCGATTTCTCTTGAGCTAATACTGTTTCTTTCGTGTGTTATATCTTCTGGGCTCTTCAATTGCAAGTTATATGGATGGAATTAGGTCTTCTGCAGCCCGACTATTTTCACCCACTACATCATGTCCGGCCTCGTCAGGTACACCTTCGTCATTATATTCACGTTGTAAATTTTCCATCATGACTTCTATATATCCATATCTATAGGTACAAACTTAGACAATGTTTCAAATGCGTTGTTAACACGATTATAAACTTCAAGATACCACTTTTGTTTAAGTGTAAATGTCTCTGCTAACATGATTGTAGATGTCTGAACTGCACTAACCTGCTAAAACAAGATAATATATATAAATTATTTCATGGAACTAATAGCTAAGTACAAGACGAAAAGAATTTGTGGGTCAATATAAACATACCAACTGGTCCTCATAACCTCGAAGTCTCATTATATACTGTGATTCATGAACAGGAACCACATCTCCTTCTTCATGGTTATGAGGTTGTAATATATCTTTTGGTGAGTTAGCAACATTATATATTATAAGATGGAATACTAGGTTGTACCAGACCTTGTACTCCTCTGAGGGCAACCCATTGACAATATCTTCTTCAATATCAGGCATCATGCGATCATGACGAGTCAACCAGTGTTGGATTTTGTTTGCATTCATAGTTCGTCAATCTCGTTATCCACCTTGTCTGCTAGACATCTTACCAATAGACAAGGGATTTCTTGGAATGCTTTGTTTAGCTCCAGATTGCCGGCGAACACGATCTGATATGTACAACTTGGCAATATCGTCAAATATGAGCGTCGTTATGCATATTGCAGTTTCAAATGCCTATCGCCTATCATCTGAAATGACCTCATCAGGATTGAAATACGAATTCCATATTACCTGTTATATGATATGCAATCAATCAAAAAAAAAATTACAAATACTTAAATACATTGAAACTAATCCATATCAAAGTACACACTAACCTCATTAAGTTGGAGGTTATCCATTTCTTGTCTAATTGGAGGCATCAGGTTGTCCATTTACCTGCATAAGAGTGGTTGAACCACTAAAATGTCTTCGCTTGAGTATCGAGACATCAATAACTCATAATGCATTTGCATAAAAAATCAATGAAACAATGGTAAGTCACAAATCGAATAAGCTCTCAAATAAATCTATTCATAAATTATTCTATCCAAAATATAATTCACATAAATCACATAAAATGTTCAAAGTAAATATGTACTTTAATCATAACTCTAGTCACGAATTACTTTGCAAAATCTAGTCATTGTTACTTGAATCATAAATCATAAATCATAAATCATAAATCAAATAAATCTACTCACGAATTACTTTGCAAAATGTTCAAAGTAAATATGTACTTGAATCATAAATCAAATGTTCAAAGTAAATATGCACTTGAAGCATAATCTAGTCACGAATGACTTTGCAAAATCTAGTCATTGTTAGTTGAATCATAAATCATAAATCATAATTCAAATATATCTATTCACGAATTACTTTGCAAAATGTTCAAAGTAAATATGTACTTGAATCATAAATCACATACAAATTTTCATTGTAAGCTACTCAATCTATCAACAACAAAAATCATCCCTTAACTAAGATATCACTAAATCTAACACAAATCTGTACTTAAAACTATCTAAGAGTATAAACCCCCAAATTTTAAAAATTTAAAGTTCTACAGAGACCAGAAAATATCAAGTTCTCAAAACCCCCAAATTTTAAAAATCTTATACAATCAAAATGGAGCCACAAATTAATTGAAACTAAATCAATTTCACAAGATAGAACTAATATGCTTGAGTATAAACCCTAAATAAAAATCAGGTGGCAATCTAAATCTCTAAAATCGACCCACATACCTTCACTCTGTGAAATGCCTTCAAAATCCGAGAAATGCTGTCAAAGACGCGTACTATTGAAAATCCGAGAAATCTGTGAACTAGTTACTTTTATTTAGCACTGAGAGAGCAAATACGCGCACTCACAGAGCAAAGACAGAGAAGCACAGAGCAAAACACAGAAAACAGAGAAGTTTAAGTGGTAAAACGCTATCGAGCTCATTTTCTGATGTTGATGTGTTGAACATCCGAAAATAAGAATGTGAACGTTAAACTTTCGAGCTATTTTCGGATGTTGAACATCTGAAAAACCCTTCAATTTGGTTGTTCAACACCCAAAAAAAGGTAAAATCATCTTTTTAAAAATATTGTGTTATAAAAGGTAAAAAACGGACATACATATAATAACGAAAACTATTTAATACATCCGTAATAACGCAAAGTATAATGGATATGTACGTAATTTTCCCAAAATATTATTGTCCTTTTAGAATTATATGAAATCATTCTCCCATATGTGGCTATTGTTGATTCTGCTCTCATGTTGCCCTTTTTCTTCCCACCACCTCCCTCTCTTATGTACTGCGTTGGTAATCTATCCTAGCATTTGAGAAGAGCTCTATATCTGTGACTTGTAGAAAACCAAAGCAAAAGACCTGCATATTAGTAGGAGATGGCACTTGATTCCACATGTGATTTATTCATATGTATTTCAGTGCTATTACAATACTAACTATTCCCAAATTAACAAGTAAAAAAACATCTAAATTAACTTTTCACAAATAAGGTGGGCATAAATTTGACGGGTGAGATGATAAGAAAGAAATGCATGGAAGTGAATTCTGGTATCTCACAAAAGTTGTTTCAGTGGCAGAATAGTCATCGAAAAAATCCACCCTAATGTAAATGGCTAAATTGCAGAATCATCATCGTCATCATTTTAGCTTTTTTTCAAATTAACTGGGGGGCTAAATTGCAAAATATTAAGATAAATATCACACAGACTTAAAAGGTAAGGAAAGACAGATACCTTTCTGCAAGTAGTGTTTCGCATGGCCTTCAAAGAATGAATGAGAATAAGATTGTTTCTTGATAAAGCTCATAGAATGCAAGTCATGACCAAAACAATTTGGTTGTACTCCCTTGAAGTTTTGATGTACTTGCACCTACAGCAATGAAACAAAATGAAACAAAGTTAACTAACAAAAAGAAAAACAATTTATCCGGAAAAGCAAAAGCTAAAATGCCAAAGATCATTCTATCAACCCATCCATTCAAGAAATAAACCTTGAAGAGTGAACACCAAACTTACAGCACAGTAACTATATGATTTTTTCTTTTTTCATTTTTTTTTTTTTGGGCGGGTAGGGGTGGGGAGAGTTGGCAAGAGAGAGAGAGAGAGAGAGAGAGAGAGAGAGAGATTACCTTGTCATTGGAGGTCTGATCCAGAATAGTGATCCTCACCTTCCAAGAAAGTAATACTGGCTCTGAGTAGAAAAAGCCACTCACAAGCACCAGATTGATGCATTTACTATAATTACCCTAAAATTGTTCGTGCCAATCAGTCTTCCTGTGATTGAATACAATATCTTTCCTAATATTTTGCTTTTAAGATTGGTAAATGTTGTTTTTGCACCTGGAAGCAAGAGTGCATGTCTAAGATCTCGAAATCACCAGGCGACGAAGGTTTGCCTGTTGTGCTTTCCAGTTAAGAGTAAGGGTGAGTAATCACATTAAGAACAAACTAATCTCCTACTTTTCCCCATATAATGTCATTTTCTTGCATCGCCTCAAGCCATTCAATCTTCTCAAAGCACGAACCAACCTCTCATGCACTCCAAGATTCATGTTTTCATGAGAAATAAGACCCCTTTCCCGTATATCCATCAAAAGCAACTCCCCTTTAGACTGATCAATTCCCTTAAGAAGAGCTTCTATAAGCACAGTGTATGTGGTAATATTGGGCCATAGGCCTTTCCTCTTCATCTCTTCATATAATTCAAATGCAACAGCTATACAGCCATTGTTACATAGTCCAGTGATTACAACATTATAAGTCACAACATCAAGATTCATGCCACATTGTTCTATAACATCACATAGGCTTAGAGCCTCAGCAAGCTTGCCTTCTTTGCAGTGTGCATTAATGAGAGTGGTAAAAGTGGCAATGGTGGGAACCAACCCCATCTGAAGCATGTTATCAAAGAGCAACATGGCTTCTTCGAGCTTTTGGCTCTTGCAAAGGCCCCGCACTATGGCACTCTCAGAAACATCACGTGGGACTAAGCCTAGTTTCTCCATCTCTTCTTTAAGCCTAAATGCCCCCTGGATATCACCCTCTCTACACTTCCCATTGATTAAAGTTATATAAGATCTATGGTTGGGAAGAACCTCTCCCTTTAACATGGCATGCAGAAGCTTACAAGATTCTTGGAACTCCCCTTTTCTATTTAGACCCTCAAGGACAGTAGTAAAAGTACCCGAATCAGGAAGAACCCCTAAATTATTCATAACTGTGACAAGCTTAAAAACATTCTTCATATCACACTTGTCACTGAATTTCTTTATAAGAATGTTGAATATTGAGTGATCGGGATTCACATTTCCTCGAATCATTTTTTCCAACAATTTTAACCCAATATCTGCCATGCCAGTGTCAGAGAGACTAAGAGTGAGGGCATTATAAGTTAATATATCAGGTGCAAAACCACTCTCAACCATTTCTTTGTACAAATACAAGGATTTTGATACTAGACCTCTCTTAGCATACGCGTGCATAAGAATGTTATAAGTTACTCTATTGGGATACAAACCCGTTTGCAAAATAGCCGAGAAGAGTTTATCTGCCCTTTGCAGTTTGCCAGCTCGAGAGAATCCATCGATCATTACATTGAAAGAAACAATATCAAGGACACCATTGGCCCTCATCTCTTTATGAAGATAACAAGCACACTTAAGTTGGCTTTCTTTAATCAATCCATCAATTAAACAAGTGTAAGTTACACAATTGGGAACAAAACCCCTATCCTTCATAGATAAAAACAACATAAATGCAGGAACTAATTTGCCTTCCTTACAAAAACCATTAATAAGAATGGTGTACGTGTATGTATCTGGATATATATTATTTTGAACCATGTCGTTACAAAATTTAACTGCTTCCTCCAACTTCCCAGCCTTACAAATTCCATGTAATAACGTATTATACACTTTAGTATCTAGAACCAAAGGCATCGTGTGTAATTTGTCCATAAACCCATAAGCCTCATCCAAATTCCCACTTTTACATAGTCCTTTAAGGAGACTAGTGTATGTGAAAACACCTGGAACATGACCTATTTTTACAACATCGTCAAAGATCGCAAATGCACCGAGCACATCACCTCTATTGCAATAACCATCTATTATACAATCAAAAGTAACAAGACCTGGAGACGGGCCAATCCTACCCATATGAGCAACAAACCCCTCAGCCTCTTGTAACATCCCACCCTTACAAAGTGCAGCAACCAACATATTACAAGTTATCAAATCCAAATTCATGCCTCTCTTCTTTATATGAAGATATAGTTTTAAGGCTTCTAATACTTTACCAAGTTTACAATATGAGTGAATTAAAGTTGCATAAATAATACTATTGGGGGAAAGTCCTCCTTTTTGCATCTTACATAGGATCGCCTTCGCATATTTGACCCTCCCCAATTTGCAAGATCCATTTATAAGTGAAGAATACGTTACAATATCTGGCACAATTCCAGACCCTTGCATTTTATCAAGAATGTGTAAAGCTTCATGAAACTGGCCGCTCTTGCAATATCCATCAATCAAAATGGTGTATATAATACACCCAGCATTTAATCCCTTTTGTTTCATTATATCCAAAAGATTAGAGGCCTCATTGAGCTTGCCAGCCTTACAAAACCCATTCATAAGGGCACCATAGCTAACCTCACTCAACTCAATCTCTAAGGCCTCCATTTTATCTAAAAGCCTCAAAGCTCTCTGAAAATCCCCTTTCCGGCAATGCCCATCAATCAATGTGTTATAAGTAATACCATTCGGCACAAGATCATGAGCCAACATTTCATCCAAAACCTTCATGGCCAGAGCAGTTTTACCCTCTTTACACAATCCATTGGCCAAACTATTATAACTGACTTCATTTGGTTTCATCCCCCTCTTCTTCATCCTCTTAAGAAGCAAATAAGCATCAGAGGAATTATTCTTTTTACACAAACTATTAATAAACATGTTATATGTACATACATCAGACTTAATACCTTTCAATCCCATTACTTCAAGAAGCTTAAACGCATCCTTGAACCTCTCCTTTTTAATATACTTATCAATCAAAGTATTGTAAGTAACTGATGTTGGCGTATAACCAATTTCCTCCATTTTCTTAATAAATTTCCCTGCCTTGTCAATCTTCCCCTCTATGCAAAGGGCATTGAGAAGAATATTGAATGTTCCCACATTAGGACAAATTCCACAAGTCAAAATCTCCTCAAAAAACAACCAAACCAAAGAAATCTTGTTTTTCTTTTTCATTATCAAAGAAAGAATAGCATTGCAAGAATAAATTGAGGGACTGAACCCCCTAAGTTTCATCAACCGAAATGTTTCAAAGGCACTTCCAAGCAAACCATCATTGATATATACTCGAATCAAGAGGTCAAAGGTCGATGGGTTAGAATTACACTTTGTATAAGCATGCATAAGGTCATCGAAGAGGAGTTTAGGCCCAAGTCCTAACTTTGTCAGGTTTCTTAGTAATTCTTTGGCTTCATCATACATTTTGGCCTTAACCAATATGTGGGTTGTGATTGAAAGGTACTGAGTCATGTGTTTAAAGTTGGGTTGTTTGCTGAGATAATTAAGGAACCTTAGAGCCAGCCTTCCATGGACGGTTCTGAGAGATGAGAGTTTGTAGTTCATGTGGTTCAGGGATTCCCATCTGTCTATTGTCAGTACGGCGTAAATGCTGTTCTCTATGTCTTGTTGCTCTGTTAAAAACAAATAAAATAAAATAAACTTTTGTGTAGGACCAGCACAGTTCTAGATTGAGAATCCATGGAAAAACCAACAGCTAAATATAAAAAACCCAAAAACAAAATATAAAAAACCCAAAAAGAAGAAGAAAGGGTTTTAAGAGAGAGAGAGAGAGAGAGATGATTTTGGGTTCATGGTAAGAGAGGTGGAGATTTTGCTCTCCATGTTTTGGTCCAATTTAAAGGAAGTATTTTGAGCATTTCAAAATAGCTTTAGAGTGAGAACTCATGAGAAGAAACCAAAACAGGAAAAGGAGAGTGGGGGAGTGCGGAGTTGGGAATGGAGGCACTCCTGGTATCAGGGTTCACTATAGAGAGAGAAAATAATACGTTTGCTCACGAACATGCCATTTCTCAAGGGTTTTGAGAGAAAAGGCGGTGGTTTTCGGAATGATGACATGCTTGCTCCAATGGTTTTTGCCCATAGATAGAGAGATTTAGACATGAAGACACAGCTATAGTCATGGTTTGTGAGAGAGAGAGAGAGAGAGAGAGAGAGAGAGAGAGAGAGATTACCTGTTGCAGTGGAAGAGTTTGTTAATTTATTCTTCTTTTTCTTGTGGTTCTCTTGTAAAGATTGCCCATTAGATGAGGAGGAGAAGAGAGAAGCTATGTAAAGTTTATGGTGAGAGAAGAATAAGGTTTTGGAGTGCAGTGGTAACAGTCTTTTTCTTGATGAATGCAAGACACTGGAATTCATCCTTTCATGCAACGCCCCTCCTACATGCTCTTCCCGCATAAAACCTCCGTTTAGAGAGAGAGAGAAATAGAGATTTGCAAAACTTGGGTCATAAAGCCTCCGTTTTAGAGAGAGAGATAAATGGAGATTTGCAGAACTTTGGTCATATACTAGAGTTTTAGAGAGAGGGAGAAATAGAGATTTGCCGAATATAGGTCATATACTAGAGAGAGAAAGTTGAAGAACTTGTGTCACGTATTTCTCTACGGGCTCACGCGTATCATTGTTCGCAAAATCTCCCGATACAACCGCTACCCGCATTAGTGTTAATGCGGCGGGTTCTCGTTTTGTGCGGTTAGTGTGATCAATACGTATTTTAAAAAAAAATTAAAAATTAAAAATTTTGATTTGTAATATATTTTAAAATATTTTTTATGATAAAAATTAAAAAAAAAAATTTATCATTAATACTCATTTTTATATTTTGAAAAATATTTATATGCTTGATGTACAACATAGAAGTTCTATCATCCCCTTACCATCCAGCTCTCCAATTTTAATTAAGAGAACCACTTACGTTTAATCTTAGATCCGATGTCTCAAAGTGTTTTATTTTTAGTTTTTTTATACAAATTGTATGAATATGAATTTTGGTACATGTCATCCTATCATTGAGGCGCACCCATAAAAAATATTAAAAATAATTTTTCGATAAAATATAATAACCAAAATACCTTTGATATATCTAAGGGTATTTTGATAGTTTTATTTTATTGAAAATATTTTTTTTTATGTTTTTCACTAGTACAAGTTTAATAGAAGAATAGACATCCTGAGTTTGGTGTCAAAATAGTTTATAGAAAAAAATTAAAAATAAAGTAGTGTAGAGAAGTGATATTACGATTGGGGGAATCTAAACGCTCCATTCAGAATGGAGGGTTGGATAAAGGGGGAATAGAACTTCTATCCCGTAGGGAAAGCATAGAAAGCTTGTCTTTTATAATTTCCCATCTTTTAATAAAAAAAATTACCTTTTGAAAAATATAAAATGAGTGAAAATCTATTTTTTTATTAATTTTCAACTTTATTTTAGTATATTTTGTTTTACTCAATTTTTATATGGTTTTCATATTTTAATAATTTTTAAACTTTTTTGACTTCCCAAGACTTGCCCGATGAGAGCGGTTGAATCGACCAATCTACCTCTTAAACCGGTTAAATCGCTTTCAAACCCATATCTGATTAACCGTTTCGGTTAAGTTCCAATTCGATTTTGCAAACGCTAATAAAGATAGAGAGAGAGAAAAAAGGTGGCCGGAGCGGTTGAATCGACCAATTTACCACTTAAGCCAGTTAAATCGCTTTCAAACCCATATCTGATTAACCGTTTCGGTTAAGTTCCAGTTCGATTTTGTAAACGCTAATACGCTAATAAAGATAGAGAGAGAAAAAAGGTGGCCGGAGGGAAGGCTTCAACAAGCGAGAGACTAAATAACAGATTGTTCCACGTAAAGTGATTGTAGATCCACTCTACTCAATGGAGAGAGATTAGACTAATAAGTCATGACACGATAATTGTAGATCTATTCTCACCATCACCGTTCATCTATGACACTTATGACCATACATTATCTATGGTCATAGAAATCATCGTGCACCTACCTTTAATTATTTTCACTACAATGACACAAGAAGTCCTAGACTAGCAAGTTGGTATATAGAACCGGAGTACACCGTCAATCTCCACCATCAGTTGCATCACAGGGACGGTGGAGATGAGATGGAAAACAGTGAACATTTTAAGGAGTTTCACGCACATAAAAGAGAGAGAGATCAAAGTTATTTATTAATCAAATATGATTGAAAACCATAACTTAGAAGTAAGGAAGTTCCAAAATTTATTTACACAAATTGCAGAAAATAAAGGAGGAAATGAAAAACCATAAGAGCTTTAAGGGGCCATGAGTCCTTCAATGGTGTAAGTGAGAGACTCGGCCCAGTCAGATTTGAATAAGAGTGTTTGTAATGTCTTCATCACATCATAACCTGGATCAAGCTTCCTTTGCCAACCCTGCAAAACATAACGAAACACATTCAAACATAACCAAAACAAAAAAACAAAAAGACTTTTAAGACTTTTCTTCCCTCTCCTATGGATGATCTTTAACAAATCATTGTAGTGACCAATAAATTAAAGAGAGCAGCAAATAAATCTATGAATGGTTTTTTTTTTTTCCTTGGTTACTTCATCAAGGTAACACATTCTATCTTGTTTCAACTCTTGCCAATCAAACATGAAACGTAGAGAGAGATGATACCTCGAGGACAAGAATAGTTACCATCACGGTACAAACATTTCCATCAACATTGACTTTATGACGTCGAACTTGTTCGAGCAGTTGCCGCATGCAATCTGCAGGATGTACAGCTTCACCCTCTGGAGTGCTCCAAAAGGTAAAATATTTCTCAACTTCCTGGCACAACATCAAAAGAAGACCAAAATGAAAACCTCAACTATCTAAGAAAGATAAATCATTAGAAGCCAGAAAGGTTTAAATGAGAGGGAAGAATAATTTCCATTGTTATATGTTTTAGAATTAGATTTTACTGAAAAAAGAAGCCATAGAAGACGGATAGTAAATAAAATATAAGGAATTCATACAAGAGAACCAGAGCATGCAAATCACAAGAGTCAAGCAGAAAAGGAATGGAGGTTCCTATCATTGTTCTTCAGTGGCTTTTGAATTCCTATCATTGTCTTATTCTGGTGGGTCCCACGCTCTATCCATACCTTCTATTGTTTGAATGGATGGTCATGATTCCAATGGAGAATCGCTTCCCAATGTCAATTGGACTATAGTATTACAATTCCATAACCTTATTTACTGTGAATATCGGAAGAGGCACATTATTCAATGTGGGTGAGAAACAAAGAAATAAGCAATAATCACACAGGAATCTTTTAACAATGAGAAAGTCTGGAATGGCCGGTGAAAGAAACTTATGATATTGGCAAATGATGTAAACTTCAAATTAAATACAAAAGAGAACCAGATAGAGTAAACTAAAACATTAGTTAAAAAGAAAGCAAAAAGGAAAGCATCATAATCCAAAGGAAGCACAGAAAACCCTATCATTTCCAGCTATTTCTAAAGCATAGGCTCTGCCGCAATTTAAAAGCGACAAAAACACCTGATATACCTACCAAAGAAGAGAAAAGGATAAACCAGCATAACACCTAAAGACCTTTGAATGCCAGCCATTTCTAATGCAATGCCTCTGCTACAAACTAAATGACCAATATACCCTCAGAAAGGAAAAGAAAAGACGACATCTCCAGTAAGGAATTAGGAATCTACAATTTTCTATGCATATAAGGATTAATTAATATCCCCACTAAAATAAAAGCAAAAAAAATAACGATATGTTACCTCTAAAAAGGCCTTAGGGTTTGGACAGTTCTGTTTCTGTGAAAACTTCAGGGTGCACTCTGCAGCAGTGCGGCCATCTCTAAGTGCAACAGCCTTAAAGAAATCCAACAAAATTACTCTGTCACTCTGAGAAAGCTCAGCAGTCATGCCAACATCAATAAATTTAACATGGGGCCTCGATCTAAACAGTCTTTTACTTGATGTTTTGGTATTAGGAACATAAACAAGAATATTTCCAGGATGCATATCTGCATGGATAAAATTGTCCACCTGAAAAGAAACAAGAATTCAAGAATCAGATGGCATGTATCCATCTAGTGAGCCAATACTGGTTGTTTCTGTGCAACCCAAATGAAAATGCATATATAGAATTAAAGAATTATCAAAGAATGAGATAAGGTACAATTGGAAAAGAAAAAGAAGAGAAAAACAGCCCAATAATCAATGTCAAATAAATACATTTGCAGTTTTGTTATTATGGAAGGGTGATGATTTGCAAAGTAGGGAACACCAAAATGAAAGAGCATTGCCCAGTGATCTTTTATTAAAAAAAATATCACCTAGTGTAGTCATTCTATCTTGGACTTCAGTCCAAAAGCTTTATGAGAAAATCAAATTAGTCTTCAAATATGTTGAGTAAAAGAATATCAAGATTAATTTTGAAAGCATCTCACAAAATACAGTTTGTGTATAAGCAGTGCGAAAATATATGTATAACTTTTCAAGTACAATGATGGACAATGATGGAGGTAGAGTCTCTCTCTCCCCATCACTTTCCATCCTTTTATTGGACAATGATGAACCAAATGAACATGATTTCCCAATAGACCTTATGATTAGTATTCCCTGCCTAATATAGAAAGAAAACCCCAAAGCCAAGAAAATAGAAAACCTCAAGCCCAAGAAAATAACTTACAAGAAGCATCTTGAGGAGGGCATGGGTCCCAATGTGAGCCAAAGCCTTCTTTATTCGAGCATGCCCCTTGAGCACATCGACATAATAGGCAACACTCTCCCCCTGCTCATATGTCTCCACCAAAACAGCGGGATGAACAAGTGGGTATAAGGGCTTTGGAAAGGATACATCTTTCCATCTCCGAAAGTTATATGCAAACCTGCTTAATTGTGCGGCTTCCCTCGCAAGATCAACTTGAGAAAGCATGAAAACCGCAAATTGTTGAACACTTTCATCGAGTCTCAACCACCTCAATGTTGGAATTAAGTAAGATATTTTTGCAACCGAATTGATAATCAAGAAATCTCTCCTTATCGACTCTGCAACACCAGGATGCCTGACCTTGACTGCGACCACCATGGTTTTGATTCGATGACCAGGGTATTTAAACCTCAATGATGCTCGGTGAACTTGAGCAATACTACCTGAGGCCACAGGATCCTCCTCAAAGTCCTCAAAGATTTCCGAGAGTTTACGACCAAATGCATTTTCTATAGTTTTTTTTGTGTAAGAAAAGCTATGTGCTGGTGCTTTAGTTTGAAGTTTTGACAACTCAGAGCAGAGGTCTATAGGGAAAAGGTCAGGACGAGTAGCAGCCCATTGACCCCATTTTATGAAAGCTGGGCCTGCCTTTTCTAGGGTGAGATGAACCAATTGAATCCAAATTTTGCGAAATTGAAGACCAAAACAATCGGCAAATGGACTCGTCAATAGAGAAGGAGTGAACAACACCGCCAAATAGATTGCTCTCAAAAATAGCAAAAGGCCCTCAATGAGGGATAAAATAAGCGAGATAAAATAAATATGTCCATCTTCAGCTTGCATGTAAATGGTAGTCCTTTTCGGAAGAGGTTTGCGTTCTGCGGCATTTCTTCTTTCCCATGCTGCCTCTCCAATGAAGAAAGAAAGAAGACTTGGAGTAAGGAGGCGTGATCTTGTGATCGCAAGGCTCACAAAGCATACAATTCTATTCACAGGTGGAAAAGAATAACTACTGTAAGAAAAGGTTCGAGGAACCCTTTTCCTAGAACCTTGCGCATACCGTGTATTTGGTGAGACAGTCGGATGCATTCTGTAACCTCTTCTAATCTTAGGCAGCTTGCAAAATGAGTGATGTCTGCCTAACACAGAAGGTAGTCTACTACTCATAAGATTCCCAACATCTTGAATGATCGAAGAAATGGATGCCTGAGAAGGCTGCAAAAGATTCCCAAATTTCGTTAGAGTTCGTAGCTCCAACATCCTGCAGTCAACACATCCAAGTTGAATTTCATAATTATGCATATATTTCTGGCATTGAGTTCATTCTCCTTAAGCTATATCAGATAGTTCATTCCCCTTAAGCTATATCAGATCATAATCAAGTGGTAAACAGATATCAGATCATAATAAAGTAGTAAACAGTATCACCACTTAAAATTGTCGCAAAGTGACTAAAGATGTGAAGTTCTTATTGGAGAAGTAAAGTTTTACTGTAAAAACGATAGGGAAATGTTGCTTCTGTATTCCTGTATTTTGGCTCTTAAAGCAGCATGATTTAATTATCAAAAACCACCATGCACGGAAAACTAGGGGATAATCTTGGCTCTACAAAATTCTAGTCAAGGGAAGGATAAAAAAAAACATTAAAAATAAAAAAAGTTGGTCAAGGTATATTATATGCCACAATAAAACTTATCAAGTGGGTATAGGCAGTTATTTACAGAGATTGAAAATAAAAATAAATGAAAATAAAAACAACTAGGCATTACCCAAAACGTTTATATAAAGAGAATAAGATGAATTAAGTAATTCAATAGAAAGTTTCGTACATAAAAAAATAAAAAGAACAGCAGAACTGTACAAGCAAAAGCAAAACAGTTGGGGAGAATGCAAGGAAACAAATGCAGAGGAAAACAAGAGACCATTCAATAAAAATGGATCCATCCCAAAGAATTAAGCAATGGTATAAAATGCCATAAATAACCAAACCTCTCTCTCTCATCCCCAAGAATTAAGCAATGGCATAAAATACAATAAATAACCAAACTTCTTTCTCATCCCAAAGAATTAAGCAATGGTACAAAAAAAATCCAATGAATAACCAAAAACTTCTCTCCCATTCTCTCTCAACAAAAAAAGAAAAAGTCGCAAGTTACAGAAATTCTCTCATTTTCTTTAAATTAAACAATCACCATTACTATTAAGCAGAGACCAAAGAACATGTCAAAGGAAAAAAAAAAAGCATAAAAAATGAGATTTCTTTTCAAGCAAAACCATTGAAAAATGGAAATAAAGCTGAAAAATCAGTAATTTAGAAACCAAAAATCCAAACAATTTTTATCACAGAGAGTTTGGAGTCAAGAACAAAAGAAAAGAGATTTGGAATGGCGATTTTCCGACAAGGAATTTTCAACAATCAGCGGAATTAGGGCAACTATTCATACTGACCTCGACATTGCGGCATACAGAGAGAGAGAGCGAGAGAGAGAGAAGAGGAATTAATCGGCGAGGCAGGGCTGAGATCGGCGAGGAGAACAGACCAACGGGTAGCAGAGAGAGAGCTAGCAGTGATTCTTCTTTTCAAACGACTTGTTGGGACCTCGCCACGCGTTCCCGTTGATCAGGGGTTTTAGAGAGAGAGAGATTCTAAAGAGAGGTGGCGACGCGCGAACTTGAGGTTGTGTTACTTTAGAGAGAGAGAGAGAGAGAGAGAGGTAGGT